GGCAACTGCCGAAGCAGACTGCGGGCCCGGTCCAATCGAGCCATAACCCGGTGGATCCGTGTGATACGTGACTGGTGTACGCTTGCAGCAGATTCAGAGGCGGTCGCTGGATGGGGTTGTAAGGTAAATGATCTGCGTCGTCTCACGACTCGATGCAATTGCGGAATTTGCTTTGCTTCACAGCTGTGTTTGGATGTTTGCCTCGATTCTATTGTCAAGGTCTTGAGCCAATCGCACGCACATGTCGGCTGCACACAAAACACAATTCCCTCAAAGTTTTAGGGCCTTAAACAAGGGGAAGAACAGGGTGACCCTCAGAACCTGCCCTTAAGATGTTTTAGCCTGCAACTCGGACATTCTTAGCAACCCCCATCCCGGGCTTGGGTTCATCCCTGGGTCGGAACCAATCACAAACGCACGCCGACACGCATGGACGCACGGCTTCTCTTTTTCAATTCAGTGAAACGTCTCTGCACAAGTTTGACCAGGTTCTGTAAACTTAACATGAAATGAGAAGGCTACAGGTCTCTTACCAGACCTCATGCGCAATGGTGCACATGCAGCAAGCTATCTACAAGGTAATTGTCTGCAGAAAACGAATCTCCAATTTGTAGCCAGTAATAATTGTAGCATCGAATAATCGTTGACCACCAAATACCTGGCACCGATGACGACACTGTACGGAAACATGGAAAATGTTGTTTTTTTTTAATGCGTGGTGGCATATGTTTTCTAATTAAAAACGTACTGTTTTGCGAGAATTCGCCTGTTTTCATGAATACTAACGCTCGACGGCTTGAGAAGTAAGAATGAAGAACCGTGAAGCTGTCTGATGGGACACTGTAGCGATAGCACGGCACTGGCATCTTCAGGCGACGGTGGACAAAACTGCCAGCTTGTCACGTGAGACATGAGCTAGTTGGTTGGATGCTCACTTGATTCGAATCTCAGCTGGTTGAAGCAACATCCACAGAGGAGGCCAGCAACATCCACAGGGGAGGGTCACTCAACATGTTTTCTTCAACGAAACCATAGCTTCTTTTAACATTTTTTACGCACAGCACTTTTGCAGTCGGAAGGCGTCGTGTTGCAGCCCGCTTCGATGCTCACGTGATTGGAACTCAGCTGGCTCAAGCAACATTCTTCTTGATGGACTTTATCGAAAAAACACAAGTGGATGCCCCAAGCAGTCACGCCGAGCCTTCTGGATTGAAACCATGTGTTTTTTTTAAAGGGTGTCTTGTCTGTAACACCACCTTGAAGGACTGAAGCTGTCACGTTGCAGGATCTTGACCAAGACTATCCACTGAGAGCTCCACCTGGCCTGTGGGACGCCCAGACCTTGGAGACAAAGCCCCGGTTGCAGAAGCCTTGCTTTTTCTCGAAGAGTTTTGACGAAAAAAAGCAAGGGAAGACCCAAAGAAGTTACTTAAACAGGTCTTGTGGCAAAATACCCATTTTTTGATAGACTTTATCGAAAAGAAAAAAGAAGTGGATGCCCCAAGCAGTCACGCGGCAAGCCCTCTGGATTGAAACCATGTGTTTTTTAAAAGGGTGTCTTGTCTGTAACACCACCTCGGGGAGTGAAACTGTCACGTTGCCAGCCTGCTCAAAGGAAGACACTGCGCCACAGAAACACGAGGATCTTGACCAAGACTATCCACGAGAGCTCCACCTTGGGGGAGTGAAGCTTGCTCAAAGGAAGACACTGCGCCACATGAGCGTGAGGATCTTGACCAAGACTATCCACTGAGAGCCTGAGAGCTCCGCCTGGCCTCTGGGACGCCCCGACCTTGGAGACAAAGCCCCGGTTGCAGAAGCCTTGCTGTTAGAATCTTGATCACTGCTTCAATCCGAAAGGGAACATGCAGCCAAAAATAAAAGGGTGCGACCAACAAACATGAGCGCACGCTCTTTTTCTTTAGAAGGCGTTGCTTGGAAGTTGAGGCTTGGGGGAAAAACAGCGCGTGTCCTTTCCCTGTGTCACCCCTAATTGCAGTGGCATGGTATGCGCTGCATCTCTGGGGCGCCAGCTGCGGCTGGGCCCAGGAATATCCACCTGGGTGTGGAAAGGGTGGGAGGGTGGGCGCAAAAAAGAAGCCTCCTCGGATGCTCCCACCCCAGCGTTCCAAGCAAACGGCCTAAAAATATCAAATCACCCCCTCTTCAGAGCGTTTGCGAAGCGCTCTGGAGCCTGCGTTGGTGGGGCTAGAAATCATGCGGGCAAAAACAAGAGCGAGCTTGCAAGTTAGTGGCCATGCTGTAGTGAAGAAGGCATGCGCAAGCCATGCACGGCCTGTCCCTCGGCTGTCTGGACTTGTTGGAAATCCCAGGTTTCTGCGAACCATGAAACGGACTTGCCAAATCTGCCTGAAAACGTGTGCTCGGCAGCTGGGTCGGCGCACCCATGCTGGTTTATGGCTGCACAATGCAAGGCAAGTCGGAGGAGCTGGTATTGGGGTTTGATATCTAAAACCTTGGAGCCGAGCGGATAGAGACGCCGTGCCGGGCGAGGCCAGCACGGCTTTGGCATCCGCCCAGATAAGTAGCCCAGCTCTCTCTTTAGAGGGGGTTTCCCAAATGGATTCTATTCCACCTGGTAGGCTCCTGACACTCGTCCGTCCAGGAAACGACCTCGTCCTGCAAAGGATTCGAAATCTAAAATGCTGCGTGCAGGCGTGTGGCTGCAACATAACGACCCCTAGATACGCTTGCAATTTTGCTCCAGGTTGCATTTCAAGCGAGCCAACCTTTGCAGGGCTAAGAAAAAAACAAAAAACAGGAGAAAAAAAGCGGTCCCAAAAAAGGGGTGCCGAAAAAAAGGGAAAAGGGCTTCCTTTGGCAAAGCTTGACATCGCTTGAAATGCAACCTGGAGCCAAATTGCGGCGCATATCTAGGGGTCGTTATGTTGCAGCCACACGCCTGCGCGCAGCATTTTAGATTTCGAATCCTTCGCAGGACGAGGTCGTTTCCTGGACGGACGAGTGTCAGGAGCCTACCAGGTGGAATAGAGACCATTTGGGAACCCCCTCTAAAGAGAGAGCTTGGCCTGCTCTGCAAAGAGGAAGTGTGCTCTGCAAAGAAGTCTGCTCTGCAAAGAAGTCTGCTCTGCAAAGAAGTCTGCTCTGCACAGAAGCGCAAGTGTGCTCTGCAAAGAAATGTGCTCTGCAAAGAAGCGCAAGTGTGCTCTGCAAAGAAGTGTGCTCTGCAAAGAAGCGCAAGTGTGCTCAGAAGTGTAGTCTGCAAAGAAGCGCAAGTGTGCTCTGCAAAGAAGCGCAAGTGTGCTCTGCAAAGAAGTGTGCTCTGCAAAGAAGCGCAAGTGTGCTCTGCAAAGAAGAGTGCTCTGCAAAGAAGCGCAAGTGTCCTCTGCAAAGAAGTGCAAGTGTGCTCTGCAAAGAAGAGTGCTCTGCAAAGAAGTGTGCTCTGCAAAGAAGTGTGCTTTGAAGCGCAAGTGTGCTCTGCAAAGAAGAGGAAGTGTGCTCTGCAAAGAAGAGTGCTCTGCAAAGAAGCGCAAGTGTGCCCTGCAAAGAAGCGCAAGTGTGCTCTGCAAAGAAGTGTGCTCTGCAAAGAAGCGCAAGTGTGCTCTGCAAAGAGGAAGTGTGCTCTGCAAAGAAGAGTGCTCTGCAAAGAAGCGCAAGTGTGCTCTGCAAAGAAGTGTGCTCTGCAAAGAAGCGCAAGTGTGCTCTGCAAAGAAGCGCGCTCTGCAAAGAAGAGGAAGTGTGCTCTGCAAAGAAGCGCAAGTGTGCTCTGCAAACAAGAGCGCCCGGGGAAGTGTGCTCTGCAAAGAAGTGCGCTCTGCAAAGAAGCGCAAGTGCGCTCTGCAAAGAAGAGGAAGTGCGCTCTGCAAAGAAGAGTGCTCTGCAAAGAAGCGCAAGTGTGCTCTGCAAAGAAGCGCAAGTGCGCTCTGCAAAGAAGAGTGCTCGGCAAAGAAGTGTGCTCTGCAAAGAAGCGCAAGTGTGCTCTGCAAAGAAGAGGAAGTGTGCTCTGCAAAGAAGAGTGCTCTGCAAAGAAGCAGAAGTGTGCTCTGCAAAGAAGCGCAAGTGTGCTCTGCAAAGAAGCGCAAGTGTGCTCTGCCAAGAAGAGGAAGTGTGCTCTGCCAAAAAGATCCATTGTTGACTCAAGATGCTTCAAAATTGATTCTATATTGGTTCAACAATGAAGCCTCCGCCCTGCCGCGCCACCTGCCCGGCATTGAAGCCTCCACCCTGCCGCGCCACCTGCCCGGCATCGAAGCCTCCAGCCGGCCGCGCCACCTGCCCGGCATCGAAGCCTCCACCCTGCCGCGCCACCTGGCCGGCATCAAAGCCACGCAGCCTGCCGAGTCATACGAATCATACGGATCATACGGTCATACGGTCATACGGTGGCGGCTTGGCACCGCGCCACCCGAGGTCGGAATTCTTCCCAGAAAAAAATGTAAGTCCTCCCGTGGGGGGAGGACTGCAGCGCGCTTTTTTGCCAATGGCTGCATTCCGACTTCGCTCTCCCACCAAGGTCGGAATTCCGACTTCGCCCTCACCGAGGTCCGACTTCGCTATTTTGTCAAAAAAAACACTGCCGGGCCAGCGCCGAAGGTCTGTCAGTGATATGGTTCTCGCCATATCACTGACAGAGTCGCCTTGCCGTCAATCCTGTTGCCAGCGCAGGATTGCTCCACTCAATCCTGCGTTGGGCACAGGATTGCCCCACTCAATCCTGTGTTGGGCACAGGATTGCCCCGGCGCACTACCAGCAGCTCGGGCTTGGAACCGTTCTTGCCCGAGCACAGGCCGTGATGGAGTTGGCCAGGCTGTAGAGCTCCCAGGCCTCAGGCACGTCGTTGAGGTCGTGGCCCTCCCCCCTTGTACCATAGTAGTCCATGGTGCGACCGGGGAAGATGTAGGGAGGGTCGGCAGGCCAGTGCGTCCTGGTGCCGCACAGTCACGTTGGATGGTGGCTGCTGCAGCCGATGCACTCGAGGGCAGTGGCTGCTGCTGCGCGAAGGAGCCCCACTTTCCCGAGAAGCTGTTGCGCAGCAGGGCGTATGAGCAGGCAGCCCGGCGCCTGGCAGGGCCTCTCAGCGCGCCCGGCTGGACATGCCTGAAGTAGAAGCGCCTGCCCACGTCGCGCCCCACCAGGCGCGCCGACCGGGTCTCTCCTCAAGTGGCAGCGGCGCAGGTTTGCGACGCGTCGACGCCACGCGGGCGCCGGGCGGCAAGGTACTACTCTAACTTTCCGGAACCGAAGAAGGGCGAGTGTAGCACCGAGATGTCGCCCAGCAGCCGGTCCAGGTGCTCCGCAAGCCACGCCTTGCTACCAAAGTACTTCAGACGCACGCCGGCCTTTAGTTTCAGGGTGACACGCTGCCCGGAAAACTCCGGCTGCGATGCGGCACTGGCGGCATCTCTTCCGGACTCGCCGCCCGGCTTCCCGGCTTCAAATTTGGCAAGTAAAGCAAAGGAACGAATGGGGAAGATCAAGCTTTTTCCTACACCTGAATACACCAGCAAGCAATCCTCGGACCCCGTGGTGCCCCTGGTGCCGTGCCGGCATCTTCCTCGGGCCTTCCAAGCAAGACCGTGGCTCTGATCAGTCTTCGAGAGAATCTACATCGCCCGGGGGTGAACACAGAGCGGGAACAAGCCTACTGGGAGGACTGGGACGAGCCGGCGCTGCGGCGCAAGAAGTTGGAGATGAAGAACTGCACAAACCCAACGGCGCCCTTGACACGCTCTTCATCTGAGGCCGGCACACGCAGATCAGCACCTGGGTGAGCTCGCAGAAGCTGAGGCTCATCAGCGCAGCCGTGCGAGTCAACCAGCAATTCATCTGCTGCTGGAGGCTGCGCAACCAGCACGAGCTGGACGCAGTCGTCGAAGAGGAGCAGCTGTACCGGCTGTAGCAGGCGACCCAAGAACCTTACAGCTTCCTGTTCGTGTACTACCTGAAGCCGAGGAACGAAATGTTCTACAAGCGCTTCGAAGAGCGTTTCGCGCTTGAAAAAGACGCCGATGGGAGCGGCGCTCAGCTTCCTGGGCCAGAAGCTGTTCGCCAGTGTGAGAATCTCCTGCTGCACTTCCGTCGCAGCCGTCCAGTCGCCTGTCGTTCGCTGGACGGGTGGCTTCCTAAAGAAAAGGATGACGACCATCTAGACAGCGACTTCGAGGTCGACCGTCGCTGCTGCCCGAGGGCGCCCATGGGCGCCCGGCTGGCCGCCTGGACACTCCAACTTCGCCACCTACAGCGAGACCACGAACAGCCTGGGCGTCGCCGACGGCAACCGGCTGATTCTGAACGACCTCAAGCTGCGCCATTTCCTGACGCGGTGGACTACCCTGCTGCGCCGGCCGCCCCTCCGACCAAGTCTCCAGCGTGGACCACACGCTGGCTTCGTCTCCGGGGTCTTCGAGTATGATGGACATCCTGTCCAAGATTACGTTGCACCATCGTGGAGACGGGCTCCGACGACGGACACTTCCTGGCCCTGAGGGGCCCCGTCACTCTGAGGGCTTCCGGCGACCTGGACGGCAACGTCGTCCGGCTTTAGGGTGGTCTTTGTCGTTCGCGCCAGGCGCGCCCCGGCGTTCTCAGACCACAGCGCAGTCGTCGCGTCTGCGAACTCGATCTCTATCACCAGGTTCAGCTGCGGCGGCAGCATCTTGCCGCAGCGCAGGACGCCCACCATGGTGGGGCGCAGCAGCACGTCCGCGTAGCCGCTCTGGTGCACCGCGCGGGGCGTCCGGGGGAGAAGGAGCTCAGCGAGCTGGGAAAAACTGCACGTCGCGCCGTGCGGTCACGTAGTTGGTGTTGCTGGTTTTCAGCTTGTAGTCCAGGCTCTGCATCAACTCATCCTGTGCTCCGGCTGTGACTACCTCCACGCTTCTTTACATGTAGCGCAACACGCATTTTCACTCGTACGGCGAAGGAGAGTCTAGCTTGCCCGGGAGTTCGGCTGGGACTGATGCAGAGTCACAGGGTTCAGGCGCCAGGAGAAGGGGCGCGGTGTGTGATTGGCCTGCGCCTGAACACGGAAGCCAGACTGCGAGGAGGCGCAGCTGCTTTGCAGGGCTGCCTGAAGTGCTGCTGCCGGAGCACAGCGTGAAGTGCTGGGGCTGAGTGGCGTCGTTCATGTTGTTGGCGGACCGGACGTCCTGCACAGCCGCGTTCTCACTGCCCTGCTGAGCCCACGGCCAACCCTGCCGTCGCCGCTGCGCCGACTCCTGAGCCGTGGCAGCCAGCGTTCCAGCAACCTTGCCCGCTGTGGGTGCGAGGGCTGCTGCTCCTTCTGCCAGACCTCCCAGGTACCCAAAGGCCCCGCCTACGCCCTCGGCGGCAACGGCAACCTCTCCCTCCTTCGCAGCCACTGCTGCCGTCTCCTCTATGGCCTGCGCTGCGCCGCGCTCCACCTCCTGCGCGCGCCCCGCCTTGTCCAGGACGCTCTATGTCGTCGGGTCGACCGATGATCTGCGGCGGCTCGCCCAAGGCTGCACCCAGGGCAGCACCCGTGGCCAAGGCAGCACCCAAGGCACCGCCCAAGGCAGCAGCCAAGGCAGCACCCGTGGCCAAGGCAGCACCCAAGACAGCACCCAAGGCACCGCCCAAGGCGCCCAAGGCAGCAGCCAAGGCAGCCATGCCAGCAGCCATGGCAGCGCCCAAGACAGAGCCACAGTTAGAGCCCGAGGTACGGCCCGAGCCCGAGGTACAGCCCGAGGTACACAGAGAGGTACGGCCCGAGGTGCGGCCCGAGCCCGAAGAAGCGCCTTGCCCGAGCGAGCGCGCCATGCGCATGCTGGAGAGTCCGTCTTGGGCTTTGTGGGCAATCTCACCCTCTTGGGCCGGAAGGGGGAGTCTATCTCGTACGCTGGCTCTGTGGGCAGGTCAGGGATCATTTTTTTGCTCTTCGGCAGGGGCAGCACGGGCGGCTTGGGCTTGTTCTTGCTGCCCGGGGGCCTGCCTCTAGGCCTTGGCGCCGGTTGCGCTAAGAATTTCTCTTCTAAACCCCCCGCTCCACAAAGGACAAACCACTGCAAAGAGAAGGACAAGGTTGTAAGAAAAAAACAGCAAGAAACCAGTGAGAGAAAGTGTGGTGGGGAAAAGGAGAGAACCTGCCAAAGCAGACCTTGCAAAACCAAATTTGAACTTCTTGCCAAGACTTGTTGTTGTTTTTCTTCTCTTTTTCAATCTGAAGATCTTGTGACAGTGTTTCAAATTGCAAAAAGACCTTAGGGGGATTAGACGTGATCCAAAAACAGCACGAAGGACAACGACGAGCCCCTCAGTCGGACAAGGTTTTGGCTCAGGCGTTGTCGACGCGACCTTGCTTGCAACACGATTGGGATCCAGCCCTTTCCGGTTGTGCTACCAACTGAGCCGTGACACCCCCCGTCGTGTGTGTTTTGGTTTTCCTTTCCCTTTGGCTTTTTCGCTTTTGTTTTGCCCTCCCGTGAACAAGCAGCCCGGCCGGCCTTCGGTGCCTGCCATGGACGACTGCTATGTGCAGCCTGGGCCTCACTGTGTGCTGCATTTCGGCCTCTCTGTCACAAAGGTGTACTTTGATCTCGGCATGAGTATTTCAGATGTTGCACTCCGAACGATTGGCCTTTTCAGCAAATACAGAATCAAGACCAGGCACGCCTACTTTCCACCGGACATGCCAGCCATTTTGTTCGATGGACTTCACGTTCACCTTCAACAATTTGGTGTATTGGGAATGTATTGTACATCTTGCCAGGATGTCATGTACTTCTCAGGACACATCAGTGCTTCGAGTCAATATGTTACCTGCAGGACCTGCTCCGGCTCTTGTGAACAGTGCTCGACCCATGGTCAGAAAGATACATTCTTCAGTCAGGAGATGAGTGAAGGTTCAGCTGGACTTCCTCTCCGGCCTTTACCGCAATTGGCTGACATTTGGTTTCATGGACCTCTTTCCTCCTCACTCCAATGTTTGCAACTTTTCGGCGATGAGAATTTGGCAGATCTCTGTGGGCGGCTTGGGGTCCCTGTTGACCTTTGCCTTTTTTCAATCAATGGCAAATCTCAGGAACCCAGTACATTGGTTCAATCCATCACGGACCAGGTTCTTCGCATACGATTTCGAGGCCTTCCTGGTGGTGCTCCTCTTGACCGAGATCCTTACCCATTTCTCCATGGGGATGGTAACCCATCTTTTACGGGCGAATCGGTTTGCAGTTCAGTCACGTCACACCATCACAAACATGCGCAAGTGAACGATCACCGCCTTGAAGAGCAAAGACACTTGCAACCTGTGACATTGCCTGCCTTTGAGTTTCCATCTCCTCCGGATGAGAGACTTAAATTCCCCGACCAAATTTGGTTTCGAGGTGAGGACTGCCATGCGACTCCTGGTATTCAGATTACCAACGCCATTTTCTGTGAGGCCATTCAATTTGATCATGATGCTGATTTCCAGGCAATTTCGTCTCGAATACTTCCTGGTGGAGATCAACATGGGCTCCAACCCCGGATCACCATCAGAGACTGCTTCAATTGCATTCCTGTCAGGGCGGATCCACCGGTCATCATCACGCACGTCACACGAGACGAGGTGAACGATTGCTTATTCTACACACAGCGTGATTCTTTCTGCACCGCGGTCTGTAATACACTTGACAAGCCCGTGCAAGATGCTTTTGAGTTATTCTCTGGTGGATTTGCAGGTTGGAAACAGGCTGTTACAGCCCTCAATCAGCAAGAGTTGATCAACATTAATGTGAGCCATGCCATCGACTTAGACCCTGAGTCTTGCAGCAACTACCGCCTGAACCACTGCAGTGGCCCGAATGGCGAGAAATGCGCCCACTGTCATCAGGAAAGAGTTTTGTGCAAACATGTCCTGCCGGAATTGCTTGCTGGCCTTCAACAAGGCCACCCGCAGGCAGCATGGATGTGCTCTCCGCCATGCCCCAGCTGGAGTGATAGTGGAAATCGTGCCGGCCTCAACAGCCTTGACGGTCAGGCTTTTCTTGACCTCCTTGATTGCATGAAACTGAATCAACCCCCAGTTGTCTGGATCGAGAACGTTTCAGCAATCTCCAAGCATCGCCATTTTCGCATTGTCACCGATTGAATTGGTCGTGCGGGGTTCCAGATTGTGCAACAGATCGAGTCGAATTTGCTTGCCTTACAACCGACATGCAGGAGCAGATGGATGGCAATTTGTGTTCGCCGCGACTTGCTACCGCTTTTGGGCGGCATTCTGTTTTGGACAAATCCACCCTCATTGGCAGAGACGTTCTCCCTGCGCACCTGCCTCCACTGCATGAGCAATGCTTGTTCTTGACTCAGAGTGAGCGTGAGACTTACTCAGATGCCAGGTATTGTAAACAGGCAACCTCGAAGGACCGAACTCTGCAGCACAGAATTAAAGGACCTTATGGTCACTTAGGCACTGTGATGGCAAAGTATGGATCGCAGCATGCGCTGCACCCTTCGGCACTGCTGCAAAGTGGACTCCACGCCGATCTCACCGGCTCTCTCCAGCGGCCTCGGTTTTTCTCGCCTTTGGAGCTGGCTTTGGCCTTGGGAACATTCGGAACTCTGAAACTTCCGCGAAATTGCCGGAGCGCACATCATATGGTGGGAAACGCTATTTCCCCCGCGCAGGCTTTGCAAGTGCTTTTGCCCATCATGTGTCTCCTCACTAAAACCCGGATTTGTGCGCCAGTTCCTCATCCGCAGGACATTCTGATGAACGCATGGAGGCTTAGACTCCGAGCCAGCCAGACGAACGTGATCGAATCTGCCAGCTGGATAGGGTTGGTTGCAGTCGGCAGCTCAAGCCCAGTTGAGTCGCATCGTGAGCCCCTACATGCAATTACCCACGCCCGTGGGAACTCGGTGCCTGACTCCATCGCTGATGACAGACGGTTGTTTGAGTCCGACATCGCTCTCTCATCGCCGCTGCCTCGGAACGTTTGTGTCTCAAGTGCTCAAGTTCAGGATCACCCCTCAGAAACTGTGTGTTCTCCCACACTCTCTTGGGGTTTGCCTGCCTTCCTGCTTTGGCTCAACCCAGATGAATGCGTTGAAACCTCAGCACCTTCCACCTCAAGCCTCAAAGCCATCACCTCTGCATTAGGCATCAGTGAGCATTGCATTTTCCGAACCTGTGGATCCAAGAGTGTGCTCTTGGCACCCGATGCCCTCGTGCCTAATCCTGCGCAGGACCTGATCGCTATCCCTTGTTTTACCGACCCGAGCGAGTTCCCACTTTGCCAACGTGCGCAACAGAACCTTCAGTGCTTGAACACTCCTGCTCGCAAGACCGCGGCACGGACACACATTTACTTGTACCACCATGATCGATGTTTTCGTATTGATGTCCCCGTGCAAGCCACCAACGCTGAGCTCCGACACCAGCTCCTTGTTTCAGCAGTTCAAGAATTTGCGTCATACCCCAATTTCCACTTGAAGGGTCGACTCCGGAATTCCTCGAAGGTTTCCCTCCTCGGTTCTTTACAGGGATGGGAACGGATCGTGACGCTTGACATTCGCGAATGTGTTGATCGGACGGTTGCGGCCTCACCCGTGCCACCACCAAATCCTTTCACCGTGACACTCCCCTGCCCAGTGTTTGCGATTTGACCCTACATGCCAATTACTTTCAAACCAGCAGTGGAGAGCCGATTCCCGTCATCACTGAACTCAATACCAAGGCATATGGCATTGCTCTGGTCTCTTCGACTGACCTCATCCCTTGGCTCAGCGCCAATGCAAAAGTTGCAGATGAACTTGCAGCCCTCACGCTCGACGGCATCCAGCCCGATCAGTGGCCCGCATATAAGTGTGCCTGGGTTACTTGCCCTGCCACTGATTGTGCTGGGAATACTGTCATCCTCAGACTCAGCTTGGAGAGAAGCCAGTGACCTGCCCACCCTCTCAATGCAGCATCGTGAAGGAGGAAGTTGTTCAATGCCATATCACTGTGTGTCGCGGTGACTTCACTGAGCAAGTGTGGCAGCAGATTCTCCAAGCCCCTGCCAAAACCATCCTTTCTCGGATTACGCAAGAGACCGTTCGCAGTGCCATTCAATCGGTTTGGGGCCGTTCCTTTCGTGTTGGCCAAAAAGCTTGCAAGCCACAAGACGCTGATTCCGTCCACATCCCCACACAATTCGCACTCCGTCTCCTGCAGGACTCAGGTTTTGTGAAGATGAACATTTCCTGACCACCAGTTTACTATGATCTGGTTGAAGTGCAACCGTGAGGAACTTGAGCCCAAGCTCCTCTCTTTGCCTCATGTGGGATACATCGCTTCTGACCGCGGATTTGGAGTCCGAATCAGTAGGACTAACCTGAAAGCGGCTTGGGCTTCTCTCAAACCTGGCATCGCCTTTGAAGAACCAGTCGAAATCAAGTTGCTGTTCAAGCTGTCAGCACTGCCACCTGCCACTACAGCGGAGGGCCTCTGTCAAGAGACGGCAAGGTGACGTCCCGTGGGACGCTATGCACCGAACCCTCAAGCTGTAATACCAACCACGTAGAAAGGTGTATACGGACGATGCCGTTATAGCCGAACCCGTGTAAACGTTGTAAGGGAGAAGGAATGATAGTTACAACAGTGGTCCTGACAAATGCAGCGCAAGCGAAGTGTTTTCGCTCTCAATGCCGATCACGTATGTATGCAGTCACACATCAGATCTTGAACCTCAATTGTGTCTTGAGCCAAATGGCGATCAATGGAACTTGGGAAGCAACACCAACAAGGACCTCAGAACAGCTACCCAATTTCGGCACGGGGCCTAGAGGGTTTTAACATCCCCCATTTGGGTCGCATTGTTCATCATGCGGTCCAAACACCACAAAACGTTCCACTGGCCACGGCTTCAACTACGAAATCGTGTCGTGCATCTTTTACTTGCTATCACTACACCGTTCATTCGCTGTGAAACATGCCGGGTTCGATTGTACGAAAAGTGAAACATTCATCCTCCAATCGAAGCACACATCCATATGCAGGTGTATATAATACACAATCGTCGCGTCATTTGACCACCAATGAACAATCCAGCTGCCGCATTTGCGCATCGCGCAGCTGTCATCCATAAATGGGTTGGCCGAAAAAAGTCCACCAGAGGCGCCTGCTCGCAATCGGTCTGCATAATTCCGGCAAAGAAACATCGGTGAGTAATCAATGCAAATCATAGCCATTCCAGATACCATGGACAATGCATAAATAATGAAAAGATATCATCTATAAGGTAATAGTTCCATCCATGAATATCCAGAGCGTCATAGTCATCGGAATATGTAACCATGTACACACCCAATCATCTTGGACACATGAATATAAATCATGACATAAGTCGTTCCACCGAAACAGTGTCGATGTGACGCAAGTAACAGATGGGGACTGACCCACATCGTACCGCAATCAGCATCTTCACGAAGCATACCTGTCCCCAATGGACAGCCTATGGGTACGTCGGCGGAACTCCTCGTCCAAGTTCTTCTGGGCTTCTCGTGCCCGGACACACTTCTTGTTGTAGTCCTCTGGCAACCAGTGCCCTTTCCGAAGGCACCAATCCAGCAGGGGTGTGTCGCATTTGTTCGGGTCGATGGCCGAGATGATGGCGCTCACGTTGACCGTGTAACCATTCTTGCCAAGGTTTAGGCCATCCCTCACGAATGATATATACTTACAGTTGAAAGCTAGTGCAAAACATCTGAAAATAATATCACCCACCGGGTGCACTCGGTCCTTGACCAGGAGCTTCATTTCTTCCTTGGTGACATCGAGGATTCTCGCTGCAATCCACAGCTTGTAGAATGTGTAAAGTCCCTCGCATTTGCACACCATCATACGAATATATTCGTCACGCTCCTCAACCGATCGGAAGGCTCTTGTCCGAACATTCTCCGATTGAGAAATCTTCGTTATTGTTGATGGCAAAAGTATACCTTCCTGATCATGCTCAGTGATGTTGGGGTACCTCTTGAAATCATTGTGATAAGGGCAGCCCGGATTCCCTTCGAGTCCGGCATTCATCGTTCTCTCCTCACCACCTTCAAACATCCCCCACATCTTGGACAGCTGGAGTGCGATAAATCCTGCCATGTACTGAGCCTCACGCGGCTCGTCAAGGCAGATCGCCATCCGTTGGGAACTTATAATGTCCCGTGACGCCAGATCGGTGTCGCGGTAATGCCAACCGCTGTCTTCTTCTTCTGACGCATAGCCGGATGTATATCCTTGCGTGTCCATGTCGTCATCTTCTCCCGGAACTTCCTCCGCTTCGTCTTCATCCCCCTGTGCTGCCGCATCGTGGTTAGCTTCTTCCTGTGCACGCCTGGCATCTCCAGAGACGTTGGGGTTTTGGTTGTCCTCCTCGTCATCGGATTTGATGTGAATGTAGTATCTTCCGATGGAGATCAGTTGTGCCTCGCACTCCAGGCATAAGCAGAAGCAGGTGGGGATCGCGGTCGCACATGATGGACATATCCGGCACCTCAGTCCTTCCCATGTCTCGTCATTCAGGATGACGACTTTGCTGATTTCGTCCCGGACCTCGTTGACCTGTGCATTGAACTCTTCCATCTTGTTGATTCGATAGAGTTCGCAGGCACGATTAACCATGTCAACGATGTAGTGCAGATTATCGGCACCTGTCTCAGTCTCCGGCATCCTCTCGCTGATCTTTGCGACGTTCTGGAGGAACATCGCAGCCGACTCTTGGGAAGAGTTGACAAAGCCAGGGCAGATCTCGTTCTCCACACACTTCGAGTACGCCCTCTTGATGTCAGCGTACTCCAGGCGCTTCCCTCCGTTGCTTTTGCCAATCCAAATGGACTTGACCTCATAGAACGGGATCACGTCAAAGACCATGAAAGTCCCATTAGCCGCGACTCCAGCCCCATACCGCGCGAGGGTTGCACTGGGAATGTAGATGATCGCAATCGGATCCCCTCTCCTCACGTTCCGTAGCGTTGTCTTCGTCGCCACGTTCATCTCATCCCATGGAGCAAACGCCCCGAAGTGCAGTGCTAGCCTGTTGCCGCCATCGATTCCGCCGGGGACTAACCCACAGCGTACGATGCTTGGCAGGTTTTCCACATACGTCACATGGAATGCTCCTCCGAGAGAATCACCCATTCTTGCGGAATACCTATTCGCCAGTGCGGATGAGCTCATGAATCCAAAATCACTGTGACCGGTTGTGACTCGGATGCACCAAGGTCTGTACCATCCATCGCATCTGTTGAACATCCTGTCGATGTCGTCCCGATCCACGCCAGCTTCGGTCATTTCCTCCCTGGCTGCCCTCGTGTCGTTCGGGTTCATGATGCTCGGAAACCTTGCTGCCAAAACCTGGAATCTCGATTTTCTGCTTCCGGATTCCTGCCACTTGATCACCTCCATGATGCCCATGTATCGTTTCGCTCTCGTGGTGTATGGTGGGAATATGTCGTTGTTCCGGTCGTCAATGACAGCATCAATGTCGACCCATCCACCCTCGTCGCACCTGAAAGCACTTCCTCGGCAATTGCCGATCTTGTGTCGAAGGACTCTGCATAGGTCGTGAGATAGCTGGTTTGCTTGGTCCCTTGTAGTAAATACCGAGCGATCATCACCAATCCTGCATAGTGGAGCACCGTCGAAAGGAGCAATGCAGAAGTTGACACTCTTGCCAAGTTGCATCACGTCCACTTGCTCAAGGATTGCACCTTTGGGAAAGTATTTGGGGTCAACGATGGACGCATACGCCCATGGCAAGTGCACATCACTCACATCGCCATACTTCGGGATGTAGCACGGGATGGTGTCGCATCCCATCTCAAGCGTCTTCTTGAATGTCCTGCTGTCCCCGCACGGGTTGTAGGTGAGGTCGACGCCACCACATTGTAGCTCTCCTCCCTCAGCCGTGTCAGCCATCTCCACCAAATTAATGGTGTAGCTGTACATCTCAATTGTTTCTTTCCCTGCTTGTCCCCCTTTCTTTCTTTCCTTGGACGTTGATGAGGACGGTTCCTCCGTATCCCCCATGTCTTCATCAGATGAAACAGGGTCACTGCTGAGTAGCTCACGGAGCACCTTCATCGCCTTCTCATTTCCAGCAGCCTCCTCAATGTCCTTGCAGTCGCCGTCGTGGGCCAGGTTCGCGCACTTCTTACAGATCCCCATATCTCCCATGCACTTCTCCATTGACTCCAGGAATCCTAGTGCCGCTCTCCGCCCGTCGATCACTCGCTGCTTCTTGTCTTCCTTCTCAGTATTGGTTTGAGAACTTCGACTCGGGTCTGGTGCTTGACCAAGACCCTCATCTTCGCCCTCCGTGGCCTTCCTCTTGGAACCTTGTGCAGAGGGCTCGGTGATCAGGGATCGTGGATGTCTGGGCTTGACCTTGTTCATGATGTCAAGCACCTCCTTCGTGGGCACGCCGAGCTGTGCGGACGGTCTGTTCCGCTTTCTGTTCTGGCCCGTCGTGTGGGTCACGTTCCCAGCGAGGTGTCGCACTATTGACTGCTCGAACTCCCTCTTGATCTTCCATGCATCCTTCCACAGTGGCAGTTCGTGCTGGAAGTACGACATCACCTCAAAGAATCCCAACACCATCTCGACGACGTCTCCCAAGGATTCCTCGTTCGTGGTTTGTCCCAGGAGTTCATACATCGTTCCTTGGTCGAGCACACTCTTGATCCAGGACGAATATGCCACATTGCCAAGATCCTTGCCTATCAAGAAGATGGACATCCTCTCCTCGACTCCCTCGGAATTCTTGCACACGATCACATCCCGGGATGCGCACAATTGCTTCCCGTGACCGTTGTTGTAGAACTGCGCTGCTTGATCCACAGTCATGCTCACGAATCCCACGTGAGAAAGCTCCTTCTTCAGCCTTGAATACACGAGCTCCCGTATGATCGTGATCATGGCCTGGATATTGTTGACGTCCACCATGAGGTTTTGAAGGTCGGGGATTGCCACCACGCATTCCGCGAAGAGGCGCGTGTACATTTTCTTCCCCTCGATAGACATTGCAATACCGTTCGTGTCCGCGTTCCAGTTCGCGCAACAGTTCACGCAAGAAGAGGGATTGTACTTCGAATTCGGTCCGAGCACCTTCGACTTGCTCATCTGCATCTCTTTAGCGCAAAGTTCGCAGATAAACTTGCTGAGCTCCGTGACCGTATACCATCGAAGACGTTGATCACCGACATCGGCTTTCCCAAAAGCATCCTGCTCGCCGTGTCCTTCATCTTGCTGCTCTTGTTTCCTCTTCGACTGTGCAGTGAAGGTCGGCTTGTACTCGAATTTCACCTTTGATTCCTCCATGTTCTTCGGGATGTTGAATCGAAGGTCGGGCTCGTTTATGCACGTCCCCTCCAGCTCACACACAAACGCGTTGCTTGGTGCGACCGCATCGATGGATTTCTCAATCAGCAGTCGCTTCAGGAGGAAGTGTTGCAAGTTCGAGCTCCCAGGGATCTTGTAGTTCTTTCCTGTGAGCGCATGGACCACGCGCCACAGGCGATCGTTCTCGGTCACCAGCGCGCCTGCCGCCTTGCAGATCTCGCTAACCTTGTTGGCGATCGTCCCCAAGTCCCCTCTTCCACCATGGAAAGCAACATCGCGATTCACGCACACCACGACCAGGCCCTTGCATGTGTTGACGAGGTCAGATATCGCCTTCTGCAGGGAGTCGATGATGGGGTTGGCGGTCACCTGCCATCCGCATCCTCTCATGCACACCCAATCATATAGCGACATCCAAATGTGCACCGACATTGGTGAGTCATCCATGTCTCGCCTCCGCCGTTCAGCGATGAGCTTATCCAGCTTCTGCAATCGGGAGATGATATTCAACGTGTCGTTGGGTGAGGAGACTTGCTCACTCGACCCATAGTATGATCTCTCCTCGATGTTTGTCCATCCCTGTTCGTTGACCATCATCTGGAAGGTCTTCGTGCTCCCTTTCGAGTTGACGGCCCTCAGGGGCCAATCCAGGACCAAGAAGCTCTTCTTGTGGATCATCATGTCGCGAATCGTCGCCTCGCCAATGGGGCTCCTCTTCTGCCTATTGATAATCCGGTTCAACTGTCCAGGTGCGTTGTCCGGGTTCTTCTCCGCCTGAATCAACGCGTTGATGGCTTTGGCGCCCGGAAGGCGTCCAGTAATCAAGCATCCTGTTTGGGCACACAAGAAAGCATACAGCTGTAGCCATGCCGCATTTCCCTTCCCAACATAGGAAAGAATGATCTTCTCCGCGCTGGTCTTCTCCTCGAAGTGCAATAGCGAAGAGGTCAGGCATCTCAGCATACACTCCCAATATGTTGCGTTCTTGCCTTCTGCAAGACACGGCCCAAATACAGTTTGTATGATTGGGTACCCCGTATTGTTGTCTATGTTGAATTTCACATTGACAGTCGCTCCGCCCAAAGTGGTACCCCCTTCGAATGAAGTGTAGGTATCGTGTCCAGCAGTTGGGTTGATAATTACCCATCTGTCGTCGTCACCGCCAGAGTTCATTCGGAAAATGGAGTCGATGATCTCGTTGTCGATCTTGACAGCATCGCTGGCTTGCGACCCCCCACTTGGAGCTCCCGGCTGGGGGACTGACCCACCAGCGGTTTGACTCCTTTGCCCGGAGCTTGATGCCGACTTCTGCTGTCGCTCCGTCTTCCGTGGCGGCTCCGTCTTCGATGAGCCCATCACCCACCATGTCGGCTCTCCCCCAACCACGAAATCCTCGGGGTACTTCTCCAGTTCCCTCTCGATTTCATGAATCGTGCAGTATTTATTCTGGAAGAATTCGATCATGACGTCCTTCTCGGCCTTCTTCTCGATCTCCTTCATCCAGCTTACCCACTTGCGCCGATCTTTGTTCTCAGCGGCCCTGTCAGCCGCGTGCGGTGCCAAACTGATGGAGTTGATGTTCATCGCAGGCAGCTTCGACTCATAGATCATATCGATGCACCATAGGAAATCCCTGGCGTACTCAATCTCCCGGTAGAGATCGTTCAGCTCCCGTTTGTCTGGACGGAAATAAGCTGTATACGACTGATCTTTGGAGTCCTTCTCACCGAGCAATGGCTGCAATCTCCTCATGATGAACGATACGCACATGAGCGAATTGACCGCCCCGATGCACGCATCAGAGATGTCACTGGGGGTTGACCCACAGATCATCCCGCGCAATAGGTTGTTCTGGCTGGCATTCTCATCCCTCCTCAGTGCATATGCGAGGTTCTTCATCGATGCCTGCAGCTCATTCTGGTAGACCAACCCAAGGTCCCAATTCTTCAGGTAGTCGTCCTTGGAACCACGACCGTAGGAG